TTCAATTCTTGGCCGTTTTGTTTTGTTTTTTCTTTATGTGTTTACTGAGAGCTTTAAGTTATTCTGAAGAGGGATTTTGTGCCACCAGAGCAAGCAGGCTGCAACTTTGTGAGACCTTCATGTAGGATGGTGCCAGCCATGCTCACACTGTTATCAGTGCTCACCTTTCTAGATGCAATTAACAGCAGGATTTGACCATCATTGCTGATACTTAGATAAGAAAATTACCAATTCATCAATTTATCTCTGCTGCTCCCTGAAGAACAAATAAAACAGAAGATAAAAGCTTTCACCTGTCCTTTCTTTCATGGGAATAACTGCAGTGTGAAGGGGTTAAAAGCTCTCTGTGGGATCTCATAATGCATCCCAAGTCAGTGTGATCTGCCTTCCTATGTGTGCTCAGCTAGCCCCTAAGGAGAGCAGTGAAGAAGCAGCCATAGTGATGCTGATATTGGACCAAGGCATGTTGCTTCTCTCCCAGCAATCCACAGAGGACAGTGTGGCACACACAGAGCAGCATCAAACACTCTGGGGCCTAAAAACTTAATCAGAAAAACCTGAGCCAAAAAAACCTGAGCCCCATGGCTAGAGAGAAATACAAGGTGAGCAGTGGGACACAGCTTGCTGCAATGGAAGAGAATGGTGAGAGCCTGCAGGCAGACCGTGGCAGTGCTCAGCTGGAAGGGATGACTTCATCCTTGCCAAAATGCATGTATACATGGCTCTGTGTGCTGTGCTGCTGCCCTGAAACTCAGGGCATCCTCGTGGAGCATAACTGCAGCTGTGGAATGGTCACTAACTCCTCCCCTCCCCCCCAGAATGAGCACTTTTGTTTAATGTGGACAAAATAACCTAAGTTAATAGACTTGTTCATCGCACACAGCTTCTGTTTGGGATTTGCATTTGTGCAGGGAGGAAGAGCATTCCCTTTGGCACAGCTGAATGCCCCAGGGCTGAGTTTGCAGCATCCTAACCCTGAACAATGGCGTGCAAATTTTGCTCCTGAGCAACGCCTTCGATGTTTTCCTGCAGAAGAATGGCTGAGCTCACAACGATGTCACTGCACATCAGAAGGAAAAACCATCTGCACGGTCGTGATAGCATCCCCAGGGACCTGGCACTGCAGAGCAAACCCTCACCCGTGACAAACAGGATTAGCCCTGCACCGGAGAGCCTCAGCACCGGGTAGGCACGGTGTTTCCATGGCAATTTCATGGCATGCAGTTGGTTCCAGATACCCTGCACAGGGCTTGGGGCTCCCTCCCACGGCGTTCCCATTGGTTTCCTCCCCCCCAGTTCCTGCAGAGGGATGATGGGTCATGCAGCATGAACCCAGCTGCATTCTGCATGCCCTCGCTCTGCAGCACAGCTTTTGTTTTATTATTTATGGATCACGAACACGCTGTGCCTCTTGGGTTACCTGGTAGTTGCACAGCAGCTCCCATTGCTTTACTTGCCTCTCTCAGAATACCGTATTTCCAGGCAGACATCGCAGCCTTAAAGCCAGGCAGTAGCACCACCCATGCCAGGGAATTGCATGCTGCTCGGGGAGGTGTCTCTGGAGGTTGAATGCCATCTTTAAGCTGATCTAAAGCAGCCAAAATGCAGGCAGAGCACAGAGAATGGAAGCAGGGAGGACACAGCAGGGGACCACTGATAATAGGAACCGCTGGCTGTCCTGGCTTCATGCTTTGTGTCAGCCCTGGGGAAGCCTGACCCTGAACTCTCCTGCATGGAAATGTGCTCTTTAGTTTGCTGAAGACTTGAATCCCTAAACAACCATAACTGTACAACTCAGAGCTGCTTGAAAACCCCAAAGCAAGAGCCAGGAGCTGCTCTCCTGCTTCTTGCTGCAAACAAAGCACCCTGAAAACACAGCACAGAATCACAGAATCACCCGGGTTGGAAGGGACCTCAAGGATCATGTAGTTCCAACCCCCCAGCACAGGTCCAGTTCTGCCCGTGGACACATATCTGAGGCAGCACCCTTGAGCTAGCAAGCACAGAGAAACTCAGGCTCATCTTGCCCTATCCTGTAAAGTGCATTTTAACTCAGACTCTGCCAACTCAGCCTCAGGTGCAGCAGTTCTCATTGAGAAGCACAGGGCAGGAAAGCCACAGCCAGCATCCCCACTCCTCCTGGTGCCTCCAGCTCTGCTTTGGGACAAGCTCTGTCCCAGCTCTCCACCTCCTTCCTATGATTTCACTGCAGGAAACTTCAGCACGCCAGGGAAGCTGGCTTGGGTCACTGACCCCCCTCGTATATCAAAGTTTGTCCTTTCCAAGCCAGAGCTGGTTATTTTTAAGCCTCCCTGCTAGGTATTAATAGCTCAGATGCGTGCTATGCTGAGCAGCTCCTTTGGTACCCAGATGGGAATCGAGCTGAACTGCCCTGACCTATGATCACAGTCCCAATGGCTGGTTTTACAATTGCACTTCTGATAAGTTCACTGCAGCTTATCACCAGCACATACCTACAGCTGCATTGACCCTGGCTCCTCAGCAGGAGGGGGCAAAGGCAAAAAGGAGCAGAGAAAGGGGAAACAGACCTGCAGGGTGCAAAGAGAGCTGGGGCTGCATAGAGAGGGTCCAATATCACCCCAAATCTGGACTCTGCCTTCTGAGGGCTCATCTGCTAACTAATTGGGCAGCTTTTAGCACCAGTTTGGGATTGCCACGTCTTTATCTAAAGCATCTGATTGCTTCCAGGTGTGAGAGAGGCTGTGTCTGGAGTGAGATGAACTGTTATTCAACAGAAATGGATGTTCTGGTCACCGAGGGCTTCTGAGCTGAAGGGGAAGCCCACCATCACCTCATCACCCACATCAGCCACAGCTGGGTACCTCACAGGAGGACATCACCTCTTCTACCTTGCTTCAGAGGAAGGTGGGCAGTAATGAGTAATTAAAGTCACTGCTTGAAACCACATTTGCTATAGGACTCTGCCTCCTTGTGCTGCAGCATCTGCCCCTGATCACAGTGTGTTATTGGAACAGCCAAGAGAGAGGCTCTGGAGAAGTTACCCTGGAAAGGAACAGGGGACCCCCATGCTGCAGTGCAAGGGGAGCATATCAGACACACAAGCTGCATTACTGCAAGGTCAGCCTCAGCTTCCTATGCACACAGTTTTGCCAGATTCTTTCCCAAGGCCCAGGCAAACTGGTTACAGCCGTTGTCTCACCTCTTATTCATTGCTGTGTGCTGATAAAACAAACAAACAAAACACCACAACCAGGACTGAATCAATTGGCCTCACATGAGCTCTATATTATATTCCTCTGGCTGCATTGTTTAAAATCCTAATGCAGCCAGCTGCAATGTGCATGCTTTGATTTAGTGATTCAGCCAGGGACAGTGCTGCCTTAGCTCTGTGCTCTTAAAACCCAAGATGGGCTGAGCACAAGGAGCAAGGGCATTGGCTGGCTTCAATGAGGAGCTTCTCAGCTGCAGGATGAGCCCCTAATTAGCCCCTGGAAGCAGAATCGAGCCCATTTTGGGGATGTCCCACCTGTCCCCATGTTTCCATACCCCTCCAAGCATCACCTGGAGCTCAGCACAGTGCAGTTGCTTGAGGACACCCACGGAGATATGACCAGCTGCCACCAGATGGCACTGGAACCTTTGTCACCCAGCATGGTGGGGTCTGTCCCCAAGGTGGGGGCACCCAAGTTGCTCTGTTGCATGCAGGCTATGGGCCCTCACTTGAATTTAATGGCAGGGACAGGTGGGTGAAGGAGCTGCCAACGGTGGACGGTGACCTGTTGCACGAGGGCTTTTTTTCCTTGAAAGATTTCAGATTTAGGGGAAAGCATTGTTGGTTTTTGTTTTTTTCTTTTCAATTCTGTCAACACATCTTGTGACACAGCTGTTCTCCCCTCCAACTGTACACTGTAGCAGCATAAGGGACTCTGGGGTCACCAACTCTGTCCCAGTATCTCCCAGAAGTGCCAATGGCCATTGGGATGGCCACACCTCCTGGGTTATGGGTGGGATGTTCACCATGCTGCACCCACTGACCCATCCCATCATGGGGAACCCCATCCAGCCCCAGCACAGGGGGTACTAGAGGAGGATCAGTGCCACACAAGGGGAGAAGACCAAAGCACAAACCCACTCAGCGAAGGAGGATGTTCTCTGGCTGTCCCTGCCTACTGTACGTCCCCTGCTTTATTTGTAGAGAGCAGGTTTGTTTGCTTTTCCCAACGTTGTAACTGCAATGCAAACACAACAAACCCTCCTGAGCCCCCTCCCAGGGGTTGTGCATGACAGTGGCATTTGCACCGCTCGCCTGGCATAGAAACCAGAGCTGACCCCAAAACAGGGACCCCCCAGGGCTCCCCCCAGATCTCTGTGTCAGTTTCTATGCCCAGAGCATGGCTGAAAGCAAGGCAAATCCTAAATCTGCTGGGTGAGTCAGTGCCACCATTGTGCCCAGGTTGCCAGCCCTCTCCAAAACACTGACATCCCATGTTTTGGGTCAGGGCTTGGTGAACGCTCTAAAGGCAGCCAGTCTGGCTGCAATTACAGATATTAATTATGCCATTATGAGAAGATTAAGACATCCCAGGGACCACGATAGACACTGTGGCCAACTCACCGTGTTGTCCCCAGCAGGCAGCCTGATCTCAAGGACAGGAACAAGGGCATTCATCCTCCTGGCCGCTGGCCAAGCCATAACCAAACCCCAACTGAGCTGCTTTCACAGCAGGGACAAAGCCAAAGAGCCCAGGAGGACCTGAGCATGTCCCCTTCCCATTTGCCACTGGAAAACACATTTGGCAGCTAAGGTACAAAAGGGCAAAGCTACAGCCGGCAGCACCCTGCAGGAAGGAAGCAGAAAAATCTCTGCAGCCCCCTGGGTCCAACCAGGCTTGTATGGTTCACCCAACTCTGGCAGAATGGAGATATCATCCCAGGCCATGGAATGGGGCTACGATGCCCAAACTGTGGCCCTTTGACCGGCCCGGAGCCAGGTGGAGAAAAAGCAGATGCAACTCATCTCAAGAACCACCACCTCCTTTAATTCCCCACCAGTGAAGCTCGGGGCTCAGCCTGGCTCTGAAATCACAGCTTTTAGCCACAGAAAAACCCACGCTAAGCAGTGTAGAGTGTGCTTTGGACGTGATGCTGGTGGTCTGAGCAGGGAATTTTCCTCCTTTACAGCCTGTGCCAGCCTCACTAAGTCATGAGAACAGTGCGAAAGTAACCATCTCCACCACCCCCACGTCCCCAGCTGTGATGGTTCCGTAGCACCGGGACCTGCCTGCAGGTGACACCGGTGCTCCTGCCTCACACCAGGGCTCGGCACCGGGGGGTTCTTTCCGCAGGAGGCACCGGGCTCAGATCATGGAGACCCTATTCTTGATGTAGACGTGGTACGGATCGCTGCGCTTGTCCACCTTTCGGGATCGGGTGTAGCCCAGGATGAGGCTGCCCACGGTGGCTGCGAAGAGCGTCATGACGAAGAGGATGTACAGGTAGGAATTGTCATCCCGGCTGGCACGGGTGCTGGCATTGTGAGGGGTGCTGGGGCGGAGGATGGCCCCGTGTATGGTTTGGTTCAAGGCATCCAGCATTGCTTGGAGGCTGCGGTGCCACTGCTCCGTCCTGTTGTCCTCCTCCATCTCCTCGCCAAGCCTGTGTGGGGCAGCAGCAGCAGCAGCGTCAGCCCCACGGACGGGGTGCCCTGGGTGATGTTGGGGCTGAGGATGAGCCCCCAAACGGTCTTCAAGGCATGGTTTGATGGAGGGAAAAAAAACCCCACATCCAGCCCCAACCCCATTGGCAGAGTGCAGAGCCACGGCACCCACCTTGCTGCTCCCTTCATTAAATCCCTTCCTCCCCCTTAAACCCAATTAGGAGCGTTGAATTCTTTTTGAATGAAGGCACTTTAAGAGAACCCGGATGAAGCCGCTTGGTGCTCAGGCACAGATGACTGTCGGACATCCTCTGATGGACAGACAGACGGATGCAACCCCGCCAAGCACTTCCCATATAGAAACAGACCCCAGAGATCCCTCTGTGTTCCCCATCCCGACAACATCAGCTCCAAATGACCCCACTGGGGTCAGTGTTACCCCTTGGCTAGCATGGGGGGTCCCCCCAGACCCCAACTGATGGGCATCCTAAATAACAGCTCCAGAACTGATTGTGCCACGCACAGACTCCATTCACCCATCCAGAACCCTGGTAAGGGAGGCATTGACCTCACATGCCCCCATGGACCCCCACCAAGGGGTCACTGCCCCAAATCTTCCCAGAATTTCCAACCCCATGGGCAAGACTGGTCCCAAAGCCCCTCCAAACCCCCAACCTGCGCCCCTGTGCTCCCCCAAAAATCATTCCTCAAATGCAAAATGCATTCAGCAAGGGAAAAAAAAAAGTTTCGGGGGGGGGGGGGGGGAGGGGGGTGGGTTGGGAGAATTCACCCTTGGACCCTCACTCTCTTTCCAAACATCATTAATCAGAGGGAAGCCAGGGGACTTAGAGCAAAAAAACAGCATTTCTCACCTGCAGAGCCCCGCAGCACTTTGCTGCAATTTGGGATTGGGGTGGACAAGGTAAGGGGGAAGGAGCTGGTTGCACTCACCGGTTGCCCTCACTGCCTGCACGGCCGCCGGGTTGAACTGGGACTGGAGCATCGCGGCCGCCAACCGGGCTGGGAGTGCCGCAGCCTCCTCCCCTTCCTGGGGCAGAGCCACCTGCCAAAGCCACCCAGCCCCGATGGTGGCTACCAGTGTGTCCCCAAAGCCTGCAGTCCCGTTGTGTGATCTCCTCGGCCCGGATGCAGGAGGTTTTTATGGGGCTGTCCGGTTGGATCCTGCCTTTCCCTTCTCGCACGCTGCCGGTCACACTTTCCTGTCCCTCCTCCGGATGTCCATGCTGTCCCCAAGCCCTGCAGCGGGCACTGAGCCTGCTGGGGACGAAATGGGATATTGCTTCCCATTGGGACCCTCCCTGTCCCAATGCAGCCCCAGCAATATCATTGTGTCACAAACCATCGGGGCCCTGGGATAGATGCTGTGACCTTGGAAGAGGTGACGATGCCCACACCCTGCTGGTACCCCAATCCCTTTCCTCCCTCCTTCCCACCATATCAGCACTATCTTGGTGGCTTTAGCCCCTCTTTGGTGGCTTTTAGTCTCTTATTGGTGGCTTTCAGTCCCTTGTTGGTGGCTTTCAGTCCCCCCCCCCAGTGGCCTTTGGTTCTTTTGGTGGCCTTTAGCTCCCCTTTGGCCTCCGTCTGTTGACTTTAGTCCTCTTTTGGTGGCCTTTTATCCCCCTTTGGTGGTCTTTAGCCTCTCTCTGGTGACTTCAGTTGCCTTTTGGTGGCCTTTAGTCCCCCTTTGGTGTCCTTCAGACTCTCTTTGGTGGCCTTCAGTCCCCCTCTGATGGTCTTTTGTACTTTTTTGGTAGCCTTTAGCCTCTATGGTGACTTCAGACCCCCCCTTCAGTGGCCTTTAGCCTCTCTGGTGGCCTTTAGTCCCCCTTGGTGGCCTTTAATCCCTCTCTGATGGCCTTTAGTCCCT